GACTCTAGAAGTTGTAAAAGAAGGTGATAAATATTGTAACCAACAAATAAATATGACAATGTTCATAAATATATATGTGTGTGTGTGTGTGTGAAAAATGTCCAAGTGAAAGAAGGCCATGGCATACATAGAACATGTCCCAATCTGGGACAACAACTTCACCAAAAAAAATGCTGTTGAAAGACACAGAAGCTACGTGCAGTGTTTGTGTTGCAGGATTTTGTGGATAGTAATCATCAGATACCCTTGCAGTTGCACTTTGCTTTGAACTGCAGAAGAAATAATACTAGAGGTGATAACAATTATACTAAGGAAATCTAATAACTCTACTTAGCCATGCAACTTGGTGAAACATTGAGATTCATTCAAAATATACATACTGGTAAATGGAGTCTGTGCTCATTCCCATGCAGCAGATTATGCTGTTGTCTTTGAAGTTGGTGCGTATGGACTTTTCAAGAGCTTGTTGGAAGTGCCTGGTAAGTGAAACTCGGCCTCCTAAACCAGTTGAGATGGTTTCTAATATGTTCTGAACATCAACCTTAACACCATCGACACCCTGCGAAACAAGATAGCTGTGTAGATCATCATAAAACTCAGATATTTTAGCAGGATCAATTGCGCCAATTCCATACTTCTCCATACAATCCATTGATATATCCCCCATATTTGCCAAATTTCCTGGTGATTGTATCGGGTATCTTAATTTTGGATTGTACTTTTTGGTTCCCACTGCATTTGGTACAAGCCCTCCCCAGTATCCCAGCAGAGCATGCCAAACATAAACATAGCTGAGAAATGCAAAATCGGAGAGGAAGATTATATCTTCTGAAGTTGGTTATAAAGCATATTAATTCTCTGAAAAAGCTTACTTAAGGCCAAAGGTCCTCTTAATATCTGAAACAAACTCCTTAAGATCAGTTGGTGCCTCACTTTGAGCTTCATTTGGTTTTCTGCGAAACTTGTTATTTTCTCCAATGCTGGCTAATCTGCCACCAAACCTGCAATTTGGAGATAAGAATTAATGTGTTGCTTCACAAAAAACAAGCAGACCACATGGTGAACTTACTGTGATCCTTCAACAAATGGCTCTCCCTCTTTTTGAAACTCATTAGTTGTATCTTGCCAGCCATCATCTATTATCAAGAACCTTGCGGGAGTACCTCCCTGTGATAAACTGTAAGGACAAGAGAGAACAAAAACGAAAGAACTGAATGGACAATCATGAGTATATAGAAACCTTATTTTGCAGGATCAATTTGCAAATTCTCCAGTTTACTTTTATAGAATATAGATTTGGGACTAGATTAACCTTGCTAAGCCATCTTTAATTCCTTGAGGATTAACAGCGTGGTAAAACGCATCCCAGGTGCACCAACCAAACCAATCCAACATTCCTGGCGTCTGCATTGAAGAATCAAATAAGAGTTGCTGATCCTTTTTCCTTCCCCACAAAGGAAGAAATCCTTGAAATAACTTCATTAGAGCTAAAACAGTGAGCTAACTTGCCTGTTTGTTTTCCCTGAGTGTAAAGGTTCCAAAGTGCTGCTGCAGAATCCTGAAAATTGCCCAAAATATGCCAATAAGAAGAGAGTCAACCAACCAAATCCAATGCCCAAGCAGGCAGCTCTAAGACTTGATCAAATATTCATATGACTTCTAAATCTGAAAAATTAGTGCTACTGTATAAATCTACCATACATATTTTGCTACACCGTACCAAACACAAACTTAGCAACAAAACTACAATAAATATTTACTTAAAAGAGCTGACCTACTTCATAGATTCCTTCATCAAATCAAATGGATGGTTTCCATAATTAACAAAAACTGCTTTGAGGGATTGTGAGGTAACTATATCAGGGTCACCTATAAAAATTCAGAAAGAAAGTCCACAACATTAGACTATAAGAAACAAGATGACAAGGTAGTGACTTTTCATTCAACATTAGTTTTGAAAAGCTAAGGCTCCATTTAGTATAGTTTTGGTTTTGGGTTTTTGGTTTTTATTTTTATAAATTAGTAACTAGTATATTTAAATTAAATTTAACAAATTCAAATTTTTATAATAAATTCAAAACTTTAAATATAGTAATAGTTACTAAATATATAAAAAATGAAAAATCAAAACTCAAAACTAAAATCATACTGAACAGAGCCTAAGTTTATTGTTTGTTAAGAACTTAACATGGCACCACTCTGGTTCTGCTGCTGTGCTTTGGATATTTTGGCTAAAATTAGAGAATGAATGAGGATTGAGGACCCTTCTTACCACTTTCAACACAAATTTGAAGTTCATCTGATGGGCTACCCTGCAAACTGCTTCTAAATTCACCATCAAGAACTGGCAAGAAAATGACATAAGAAGCAGAATCGGTGGAAGTTCCTTCACTTGCCTCCAAGAGCAGCATCTGAGTTTCAACAGGAATGTCACTTCCTGAACTCCCCATTCGAGGTATCATCCACCAAAGCTTGAATCTAAACAGACATAGTAACCTTATATCCCTGTATTGAAATGAAGACACCATAAGCAATCTAAGTCCCAAACGAAAGTTTGAACAAGAGTGAAGAGACAAGCAAAATGATTTACTGAATCACGCCTAGCTTGAACACATGTCGAGAACTGGTCTGCGAGGAGGTGGCGCCGACAAAAGCAGAGCTATCTGTCAACGGCGTCACGACAACATTGCCAGGAACACCTGTGATTGCCTCCTTGCCATTGACACAGAGGTTCCCATCTTTCAGGACGGGTCTCGTATTGACAAACATACGGTGCCGCCATCTCTTTTTGGGGCGCAAAGACGTTTGCGACAAAAAATTGTGTCTTTGGCGTTGTGATATAAATGGGGAGAAGAGAGGAGAATTGGGTTGGAGAGAGAGCATGGTAATGGTGGCGCCAGACATTAATCTCGGAGATGATCGTCATAATTTATATAGAGAAGAATATGAGGCTGAAAGTTTGTTAAGAGTTGATAAATGGCGATCAGCTTTTCTTTTGCTCACTGGCTATGGTTTTCTTCCACATCTACGTTACTCACTTTTGTCATTTTCAATCTTTTTTGGTTGCATTCTCGTACTTCTGTTTTTTTCTGCTTTCAAAGACCAATTCTAAAGGGTGGTCCAAAAACCCTCATGCCACCCAAAAAGGAAGAAATTGCTTCAGCAACAAAAAAAAGGCTAAATTTTTTTAGCAAAGTTGTAATCTTAGGCTTGAAATTAAGAGCTATAACTAATAATGACATACTTGAAATGCCAAAGCCTTCGAAACTCCAAGTTGAAGGTCTCAATTTGAAACTTGGATGTACCAAAAGAACTAATCTTGACATAATTATATATCAACAAAACAGACTTGCCTTCTCTATGATTATTCTACACAAACTCACATCTTAGCATTGGGGATTCTACTAGTACAACGGGCAGGCAACAGCTACATTGCAAAGCCTTGGCTACCGTTCTTGTTCGAAGTTCAATAATTGAAACCCTTATGTTCTCACAAAATCAGGCTGATTGGTTACGGATCTCACCCATGCCCATTTATGGTCCATTGTGTTAACTTCGTTCTTAGCTTGGGCAACCTCCTCCAATGGAATATACGCATAGTTGCCATTAATAGGACCTGACACGAAACCAGTATACCCTGCCATAACCCCGTGAATTGCTGAGTGCGCTAGCAGGGTGCAATACAAGTTATCCGTGGCATTTGCAGGGACTGCACGTATCATGTATGTAGGATCTATATACTTCACCGTGAACAACTCATCTGGGTGGTCTCTTGCCCACCATTTGTTAAGCTCTGACTTCAACCAAGGACCAACATCTAAGAAAACCGGGTTGCCAGACTCATCCTTCTCTTCTCTCTGATTATCACTTCTCGGTATCATATCCTGTCCGGAACCTTCAGCAACAACTAGCACTGCATGCCCATTTTCTCTAAGCTTCTTTTCAAGAAATTCAAATAGTCCTCCTTTTCCTTCCAGATAAAACTCCATTTCAGGAATTAAACAACAGTCCACATCACGGCTGCTTAGTGTAGCATGAAGGGCTATATGTCCTGTGCTTCGCCCCATTAACTTCACCAGACCAATTCCATTTACTGCACTCTCTGCCTCAACATGTGCCGCATGAATTGCTTCCTGAGCCATTTCTACAGCTGTCTGGAACCCAAATGATCTATCAATGATGCCAACATCATTATCAACTGTTTTTGGAATTCCAGCAACACCTACATACAGTTTGCGCCGACAAATCTCTTCAAAAATCTTCACAGCTCCACGCATTGTGCCATCACCACCTATGATATAAACCTGTTGAAATGTATGGAGCAAACATAATGGTTTTAGAACCTTAAAAAATAAGGGAAACTAAGTTATATATGCTAAGCCATTTCCCATGTTCATAAAAAAAATAAGAAAAGAAATGAACAAAAGGATCATGCTTGAGCATGTAACATTGGAGCAGTCGGAATAGACATTGTTTATGTAAATAAGAACCCAAAATTCCAAAAATCAGGTTACTTGTCCAAGCCCAAAATTTGGAACTTTCAGACAAAGAGAATGGAGAAGCTGTTAGCCATTGAGCAAAGAGAACAGGCCAGCCGGGGATAAATTCCACTTACAAATGGTTTCTGTTTCCTATCATCCTTGCCACCCACTCCAATTCAAGCTTTACTAGGTGTAACATCAAGGAATCAATGATCGAAGCAGGCATGTACATCATTATCATTGGGCTATCTTCAACACATTACTAATGGGTTCAACCCTAAGAACTAGGTTCATTCCTAGATACATCATTGAAAAATAAACTAACAGACATAATTCATACCAAATAAATTGTTGAACACAGGATTCTCCTTAATATATTATTCTAATAACCCTTAGACTAATCTAATCCACTCTTTCTCCACTTTGCCAAACTTTCAAAATTCTGTAAAACAATTCCTATTTAAAAAAAAAAATTATCTTGCAAGCAAGACCCTGTTCAGTCAGCTTGGGACCGCCCCCATTTCGAATTCATCTCAAAAAGATTATCTTTATATCTCTACACAACAGAAATCAGTGTATCACAATCTCAATTCATCAGATAATAATCAAGTGCAAAACCGAGGACTCAATTGGGGTTTAAAAAGGGAAAAAAAAAAAATCAAACTTGATTGCGGGGATAATTAGGTACCACAAACCTGATTGAACCCACGATGCTGAATGGCATCGACAATCTTTGTGAGATCAAAGCCACCTCTTGATGTCTCAAGCACGGTGCCGCCCTTCCTATGCCAGTTATGGACGATCTTCGGATTGAGCTCTACTGGGTCAGTGGAATAAAATCCCCTGTATCCAGCTTTAATACCGTAAATTTGTCGCACCCCATAAAGCTCCCAGAGGCCAATAACCAGCTCTCTAATGACAGTATTCATCCCGGGACACAGGCCACCACATGTGACAATAGCAACCTTGGTTGTACTAGGGTCGAAGAAAATCTGGTTGCGAGGACCAGCCCTGTGGTATGCGCGATGGGAAGAGGGAGAGAGGAAGGTTGCAGAGAGATCATAGACGACCTGGCGGAGGATGATGTCGGAGGAAGTTAGGTAGAAGCCGTCGGTGGGATGGAAAAATGGGTTTTGGTCTAGCGGGTTGGAGCGAGGCTGAAGGTGCACGAGGTAGTCGGTGAGGTGGGGCAATTTTTGGGGGGTTACCGAAGAGAATGAGAGGCTGTTACCGCCGTCATTCAGTGATTGGTGGCCGCCAGCGGCGACATTGGTGGCTTCCGGCTGAGATGAGGCCATCATATTCTTGGCAGACTGTAGAAACACCTGTCACCGTGGCGTAAGGACTGAGAACGTCTCATTTGGGATTAGGCAGTTTATAGGCGCCATAGGAACATCTTTCTATATTATTATTATTTTTTATTTTTATACGTTATTAAATAAATAAATATATTTTTACTTTTTTTTTATACATGGATTCAAATTCGTGTTCGTGATAATATTACTTAAAAAAAATAAATATATTTAATATTATAAATTTTAAATAAAAATTAATTTATTTAAATAACATATCAAACTAAATAAAAAAGGTAAAAAACCCCTCTTGATATTATTTTTCGTTTATAAAAGAAATTTCGTGTGACGTGTCAATTGTATGCTTACGTGTCAAACACGTAGGTGCTTGCGTTGCCATGAGGAGTCCTATAGAGCCACGTGGCAGTCAAACTTGAATGGGGGGGATGGGCTGTTATTTTGAAGTCTTGCTTAACTAATAGTCCAGTTGCAACTGCCCCCCGATTGTGGAAACTGGAAACGATCCTACGGAAAATGTCAAAATGGGCTAAGAGCCCGACTCCCGACCTACTTATACGCAACGTAATCCAAAACTGCTTAACTAATTCATTATCCCACCCAAACTCAGTCACCTTTTCGGCCCGTCTCTCATTAAAATTTAAAACGACTTCTCTTATGGTAGTACCTAATTACCCACCACTTGATAATATTAATGAGAATATTAATGAGGATTTGTCTAATGATAAAAATTAAAGATATAATAAATACATATTTTTTTATAATTAATTTAAAAT